AAAACTTTGCGTGAATAATACGTTTAAAGTATGCCACCTTGTGACCAAAAATTTTCTAAATCGAACCAAAACTGTTCAAGCCCCTAAGTACTAAATATGTGGACCCCAGTGCCTATAATTGACCTTCTACCGAAAATATCAGTCAATCCACAAAGAAATCTCAAACGAGTATACCATTTGACTTTGCGAGAGTATAAAATGTTCGGTTACATCCGAACTTAGCCTTTCCTTACTTGTTTTTTTGTACTTTTACTTTTAAAAGCCATAGTTCGGGAAAGTCAAGTGCCCATTATTGCCTATATAACCAAGTTTCTCTGATAGAAGCTGGAGTTTCGATAACATAATATGCTTGTTTTATAGTAAGATGCTTCTGTTGCTAATTAATATGTAAGAGCGAAGTTTTCCTCTGTTATCCAGAAACTATAGCTGTTTTGTAAAATCAACAGATCCCCTTTGCAACTTCAAGGTTATGTGTTAAGGGTGTTCTCTTTGCAGTGGAAATCTGATATAGTCCACCACTAACGACATGTACATTGATAAGCAATTTTTCATAATCGATTCACAATTGCTCTGCTTGCTAACTTTTTGCGCTACACTCTTGCCAAAAAACTATATATTTTTACATTATTTACTTATTTACTTCCTGAACTGTCCAATAACTCAAGTGCTTCCCAAAAATTATTCAGTTTGTTCAAATAGGTGTAGCAGAGAATGTAGATTATTTTACATTCTCTGGGTGTAGTTTTCGACAGTTCTTAGTGCTGCCAAGTTGTTTGGACAGCTCCAATGAAGTGTTTGATACGCTACTCGTTAAAGCGTAGCGAATCGACCGTAGCTATATGGTGCTTAAAGTCGTATATTTTAAACAAATTAACCATTCTACTATCAGTGCTTGTGTGTTTTTGTTGGGAACAATTTAAAAAGAGAAATTGAAAATGAAATAAAGTATATTACCTGTAATGTTCGATGAAGTGGTTGAACCAATATAGAACCGTAAAAAATTACTTAACTTTGACAATTTATTCAAAGGTTAAGAAAATTAATCAAATTTCTCTCTCTCAGTTGAAAATTGAAGTTTCGAGAAAAACGAATTAAAAGTTTTAATCGCTGAAGCTTATTGACGTTTCGACACTATTACGGATAGGGTGAGGAACACACCCACAATTTTCCTGATTATATAATGCTTTAGGGACTCGGTTACCACCAAATTTGTTTTTTTTAGTTTTCAAAAATCCTATACTGTCCTAATCCATTCAACCAACCAGAAAATGTTTGTCACAAAGTACCGTTATATTATGTATTTCGAAATTAGTTAATTTTCCCCTTAACAGAATTAAGCAAAGCGCCGTTTCGTACATTAACCTCCACTCATTTGATGAAAAAACCAATAACCCTTATTTATTGTGGTCCAGATTAATAAACTCTCACTAGGGTGGAGCGAAAAAAAATTTTTTTTTTTTGCTTTTTGCTGAGGGTAAAATCTATAGATTATAAAAAGAGAAAATTTTTAGACCAAAAAATAACTTTTTTTTAACATCTAGGGGCGGCCCACTTTGTCTTTAAATAAATTTATTTCGAATTTTTTTTTTCGCTTCACCCTACTCTCACTTCACATTTTACAGTTCCTTGCCCACTTTCACACCAACTATGAGATATTTACTATAGGTATATTGTATATTAGGGTGAACCAAAAACTAACCTATCGAATTTATGTGTTAAAATAAACCTATATGCAGATAAAAATATATCGCTGCAAGAAATTTTTTTGAAGTTAATTTGAAATAATGTCCGTGAGCATTCATAGTTTTCCATATAAATAAGTTGTCAACAAATTTGGTTTTATTAAAAATACCATAACTTTTAAACCATTTAGAATGGTAAGGATTTTAAGGCTCTTAAATATACGAACTTTTTTATTTCCCTTGGGTAGAATTTTTTTTTAGAAAATTTTATGCTTTACAAAAATCCGCAATGTTAAAAATGTTTAAAGATTTTAATTGCAGGGGTATTATGATATCGGACCACTAAAGCATATAGCTACCATACAAACTGAATGATCGGAGTCAAGTGCATATATAGAAAAGCCTTTACATTTAACGATCGCTTATAACACCAAACTTATTGTTCACAAAATGACACATCAAAAGCAAATTCTTGTAAAGCATTGTATTTGTGTAGGGTATTAGGGTAGGGTAGGTAGCTGCTCCTTAAGGATCGTTTTAACTCATGTCATCTCAAAAGTTAGTTTTTGGCTCACTCTAATATGCTACATATACATACCTACCCATATGAAGTGGCTATGGTCACTACTGCCATCCTTAAAAGTGTATCCACACACATAAACATAATAAATACAGTAAACATACATACGTACATATACACACATGCGCGCACAGTAGTTGACAATGGGCAGAAGAGATGCTCGTAAAAGGTTATGCATTCCGCCTTTAATGGTTGTTGACCGCTGATGATGTTATAAGAGAAATGCATTAAAAGAATGCAATCGAATATTTGTGTCACACACATACAAAACAAAAACAACAAATAAATAATAAAAAATTCTTCACACACACACACTAACGAATGGCGCTTAGCATGTGCATGTTCTGGACTTCGCTCGCACTCTGAAGTGGGTCAACGAGGATAATGTAATTAAAAACAAAAACGTCGCATATCTGCAAATCGCTGAAATGAAATAGAGCAGCAGAAATTGAATTTTAGTTAAGAGACAAATGCAAGAAAGAAAAATAAAAAATATATACAAAAAAGGCAATAATATGAAAATGGATATGGCGGCGGAAATGGAAATGAAATTATGCAAGTTATTTAGAATTAAGGCAGCAAAAAAAGTATGAAATACACACACATACACCCACTGCATTGAGTTGTGTTAGCACGCTTTCAGTTATTGCCGCTCAACAATGCACACTGGCAGTATGGCGCACACCTTGGCGTATACGTGACCTGAAATATGCAGTGGAGATATTTATGATAACAATAGAGTTTTATAGCACAACGACATTGTTGCATCCACCTATATTACAGTTTTTGCGCATCGCTGACAAGTTTTTATGTTAAAAATGCAAAATCAAAGTGAATGCAATCTATGTACAGTTAATCTGGCATTTTTGTATACTTGCTGCCGGCGCAGACTTTGCGTGATGTGAGGTTTATAGAGAATTTTTTGTATGAAAAACTATCTAGGAAAGTTGCTCTGATTGGTATTTGGTAGGATAAATAGGGAAATAAATGAAATGAAGCGCTTATAAGAAGATATACATGCTTATTTACCACACTTAAGAAATTAGGCTAGTGTAGATCGCTCAAAAAGCCTTAACTTAGGGAGTAAGGAAAAAGTAATATAATTTCTCTCTTTCACGCTTCATTACACAAATGTATATTTCAGCTTGTAAAAAAATTGTATTTCTACACTTTGATACAAAATGGCGGTTTGCTGGACTAGTCACCTTTCCAAAGGGCCTAGACGGGTGACTGTGATGCAAGGGACTCGTGCTCTCTGAGAATAAATTAAAGAAGAAAAAACGTTAAAATCTGATGCACCTATAGAAGTGCATTTTTTCGTCTGTTTGTGTGGCAGCTATATCCTATAGTGGTATGATATCGGGGCTTTCGACGAAGCAGCAGCTTCTCACTTTAACTGCATATGTGATAACTGGGACCACTGCGCCACAGAACCAGCTTGAATTTGCTGACTGTAAGCTCAAAGCTAGTCAACGAGTGCATAACTTCACTAGCAATAACATCAAGCAACTTCCATTTCAAACTTTTCTGGGGCCTGGTCACAGCGGAATAGTCGGAAAATGTAAAGCCGATGAGCTTGCAAAAAAAACGAGCAGCTCTTCCCCTGTCTTTTGTCCATTCGGGCGCTGGATTTCATGGGCTCCGCTGTCCAGCTTTTACCAATCTAAGGTTGAAGCATCTCAGTTTGTGTAAAAAAATATGGATTTTTTGAAAATTCTGGACTGGCCTTACCTCTTAATGGATTTTTATTTTTATATATACAACTAATTGATATTTATTGTGCTTATATATTGAAGTGTTTACCTCTACATTATATTTTTCAGATCTTGTCCCCAAAGACTTTCTCTTTCAAACCTCATGAGAATGGAGGAAGCAAAAGACAATCGTTTTACGAACATGTTTCAAGACTGCTTTAATTATTGGATCGCTCTCAACTATGTTGAATAAAAATTTTGAAATTCTCAAAAAAAAGGAATTTTTAATTAACATAATACAAACTTTTCAGCATACCCGTAGAAAAACAACGAACTCTCGACTCTCTCAACGGACCAGTTATAACTTGAAAGCTTAGCGACATTCCCTGTTTAACTGTGGTCAAGCTATCTCATAGTAGCCTTTAGTCCATTTTCATATGTTTCAACCCGTAAAACTACTTTGCTTAGTCTCCAGACAGAACAAATCATCTACAGGTAGTAGATGATAGAATTCCTGTAGAAATATTCCAGATGCCGAGCTCTTAAAAATCTTCTTCATAATATATGTATAATATTTCTCATAGTAATGATAGAGCTTATAATCTCGACTGGAGGTAAAGTTGAATTCATAATTTAATCAGAAAAGGTTTAAGAACTTTTTCAGATATTGTTTAAGAACCTGTATTGAAATCTAAGCCGAAAAATATACGTATAATCTACTCAGCCTTATAACAACATCATTTCTACCTTTGGCATAATAGAGAGTTCTTATGTGTCGGCTTCTTAGAGAAAGAAAAGAGAAAGAGGCGGTCTTACTAGTTACTAGCTGCCTTAGTAAGATCCTTTAGTAAAGGGTTTACTCATCTAAATAATACTAAAATCATCAACTATTACGCAGAAAATAGATCTACTCTATTTTTAAACACACTGAATTGGCTTTAAGAAACCACTCATACATTTCTGCTTATTTACTTACACATTCACAAATAAATTGTCTTTAAAATACACTTTATCAACTATTACCTTTCCCCTTTTTCTTTTCAGTGCCGCTAATCTGCCCACAATAACCACAACAGCACATTCATCACTGGACTCTGATCAACCAAGCACACAGCTCAAAGCGACACGCGATCAAGGTAAACGACCACCGCTCTACCGGCAGGATTACTCCACCTGCGTGGACTCGAGCGAAGCGCAGTCGGACGATAGTCACTTAACCCGCGACTCTGTAACACGCGAATCACAGAACGACGAACTCTCCTCCTCGACACACGACAAACTTGACGTCAGCACTCTACCGCTACCCGCGTTACCGCCCAAAAAACGACGTACACGCTTGCGCGCAAGTCCATCGCGCCATCATAGCGGCAGCAGTAGTCGGCGTGGATACGAGCATGACACGGCTGCTGTTTGCGGCAACGACGAACAGCGACACAGCAACATAACAACTGGTACGCTAAATTTGAAAGTAGCCAACGCGTCTGCTGGTGTTGGCAGTGGTAGTGGCGGCAGTTGTGGCGAGGCCACACCACACCTCTCCGCCTTTCAGCAGTACGTGGCAAAGCGTCGCGAAAGTCTCGAGGCATCAACGCGCAGCTTCAACGAAAAACTGGAAGCGCGTAGGATGCATTACCACATGGGTGGTGGCGGTGGTTGCGAAAGCGCGCTTGGCAGCGCAACAGTTGGTGGAACCACGGCCAGCGGTGGTGCTCACATGCCCACCTATCTGTTTGGCGAACATTATTATGGTGTGCCCGCGAAAGTGACGGGCGCGCGCAAGTCGACACATGGCAATAAAGAGGAGATCTTTCTCAACAAATCCGGTTGGGTGCAGGTGAATACAAAGCGTAATAGCGATGAAAATCGTGGCGGCGTTGGCGGTGGCTATCGTAACGCTAGCTATGCGCATCAAAATGGCGGTAGTGTCGATGGTGAACGTGAACGCGATCGTGACTTACGGCGTACAGTGCGCGTCATTCAAATCGATAATACGCGACGCTCGGATAGAGCTCGTCAAGCGTTACAGCAACAGCAACAATATTCACTCGATCCAGCATTCAGTATGGGTAAATATCCGGCAAGTAAAGTGGAGGAGCTGATACAACGCAATCAAGCGCGTGTCGGCAGCGCGGGCGGTCCGGTGTTTGTGACAACGCGCGATAACGCCTTGCGTCCTGGCTATCGAATCGTCGATCCCCAGCTGGCTAGCATACTCAATGAACGTCCCGGTTTCCTGCCTGTGCGTAATTTACATGATGCCGACTCTCCACCGCCCATTACGCCCATACTCTCGCCACCGCCCGCCTTCCAAGATAGTAGTAAATCGAAATATATTGACCGTCGTAAAACCATACCAATACGTCAACATCAATCAGCGTTGACCGCTAACAATTTACTTGTCTCGAATGTGGGTAATGGCAGCGCCGGCAAGGGTATGGTGTTTTCACGCAGCTTTGAGTATGATGCGCGTCGCAATGTGCCAGCCGACACTTATGTCGAAACATTTTCACGCAGTTTCGATGGTAATCTTTCGGAACGTCCACCGCTGCAGCGTGAACGTTCACCGAACTTCAGTACGCTCACTGGCAATTCACCCAACTATTTGACTAAGAAGGATTCGGGCGGCGGCAGCAGCGGCAGTTTACGTAGCCGTGATAATTCGCCAAAGTATCAGCACCCACAAACCACTGCCTATTTGAATGCTTCGATAAAGGAGGCGCCGCCCGCCTACAGTTTGGCTAGCGCAAATTCGAATGCGGGCGCCAGCAGTCGTTTTTCACCACGTTCGCGTCATGAGCGTTCGTTCGAGCGCTCAAAGAGCCATAATGTGTTGGTGCGCTCGCGAAAGTCACAGTTCAGTCGTGGTTCTAGTGGTGGCGCAATTGTGGGCAGCCAACAGCCGATGGTCAGTGTGGGTATGTCACGTTTTCGCAGTTTCGACACGACGGCGAGTCAGCGACTGAACTCTTGCGATAGCGGCGCGAGATCAGGTAAGTTTTGTTGCACTTTTTTATTCTAGAAGCATATATTTGTATTTGTTTTGTCGCTAAAAATCCAGGGCTTCTATGAATTCAGCGATCTATAGCCTAACTTTTAAAATTTTAATTCAGGTACCGTGCGAATAAGATTCTTGAAGGTTATAATATATAATAATAAAAGTAATTTCAATTTGCCTTTCTATTATTATTACTTGCCGTTATACGTTTGAGTATATTTTTTTACTTTACTTAGCCTTTGATGTTTGGATCTGGTTCCCTGATATCCTGCGGCATTTGCTTTTATTCCATTCTATTCCTTATTTCACCTCTTTGGTAAAAGTTTATCTGAGTTATCTTGAATTCGATATTTTTTCAGAGGTGAATAAAAATATTTCCTCTCAGATTGATTCATTTTTAGTAATACCTTGATCGAACTAATACTTCCGTTAGTTGTTAATCAACTGGAGGTTTCTATAAAAGTTGTTTTCCTTCTGGTGAATTCCATAGGAATATTTGAGATTCGAGTAGCATGATTGTGATGATATTGAAATCTAATTGAAAACGTCATAAATTAAATCATAGATCTTTTTTCTTAGCGCTGTGCTTCAAAATTACTTTAAATATTTCTAGATTATCTATTTACTAACTCCAAGCGGTCTACTTCTCTACCAACCACGAAAGTTCGTTTCATTGCCTGCACTTCCACTATGCTTTAAAGTGGGTAACAGGTTTATTTTTTAAGTGGTGTTGGCTGGATTCTAATTTCAGAAAGTTGTAGGTCCTTAGAAAAAAGTAAAATTTCTGAAGAGTTGTCTTTATATCCACGACCACTACCATATTAATATATAAGCGCTCACTCATATCAAAAATTTAGTGATTCAGACGTTTCAGATAACGCCTTAATTAAGTTAAATAGTATTTGCCTAAAAAATATATTGAAAAATTGCAAATTAGCCCATTTAATGGCCTGCCTGAAACGCTTATAAGTTCGGTTCGAGTTTAAGACTTTCTTGTTTGTGCGATTAGTGACTCAATTAATGATCATTTATCATTATGATTAAATTAGCACCACCATTAAAGTGCTAATTAACTCATTTAATAACCTGCCAAAATCTATTTATTCGATTAGTAGTTTAATAAGCTCGCTCAGTAAACAATAAAGGTTTCGCAAAACGCTTTAATTTGCGCTGAATATACATTGGATAAAAAAAACCTAATGGCTTCAATTCAGGACCTGCTTGAAATGCTCATAAATTCTATACGATTTTAAAGCTCTCTTAAATAAATTAGTGTTACAATTAATGTGTTTACGATATAACTAATGCAAAGGAAGAATACCAAATTTACTAATTTTAGGGCCTGCTTGAGTCGTTTTATACTCAGAAGAAGTTTAACAATTCCTTAGTAGTTAAATTAATGACTCAATTACTGCGCTTAGCTCTTTAAGTGCTAAGATTTAAGACTTTCGTAAGAGTGTAAAACCTTCAATTAGTGATTTAATTAGTTCGCAATGTAGACATTTAATATGCATTACTTGAAAGGGCGTGCCATTAAACCCACTTTTAGTTGACCTGATAATTTCTTGGTTAAAAGATACTGAAAAAAATGCTAATTGCCTCAATTATTGGCCTGCCCGAAAAGCGTATAACTCTGTATGAGCTCAACACTCCCTCAATTATTGCAGTAGTGGCTCAATTAGCAGATATGAGGTTGTAATTATTCAATCAGCGGCTTAATTAATTCATTAACAATTTAATTAGTATACTTTACCTAAAGAGGCACTAACTTTAAGCCTCGTATTTTTTTTTTGTCAGTTTAAGCTAATAAGTTCCTGGTTCATATCATCTCTTATATTGTATGCCATCAATTCATTTGCACATTTTCATTGAAAACTCAATACTTTATTGCAGCTTTACTGAACATGGAAAAAGGCAATTGAAAAAGTTTGCAACTTAACTTTAAATTATTTCAAATGCATTCACTGCAGCCGAGTCAGTTCTGCATGTACCCGGCAAAGCGGGGCGTTAGTTGCTGCAAAGCTTCACGAAAGTTTCAAGGATTCGCTCATTCGAGCTTAAATCGCTCATATGCACACAAGTATATGTTCTATTATATAAGCATATACGAGTATATTACTTCGATCTACATACACGCTGCAGCATTCATGCATTCATCACTGACTACCGTTAGATCCCCAGATCCGTTTTATGTGCGTGTGCAATGAAGCGCAACAACGGAATGAATGCGAGCATAATGTCAAAGTTCCAGCGTTGCTTTGACAAATGCAAAACTCTCGTCGACATTGGTGGAATGTGTAGGTCGTGTTGGCAGCGGAAGAGCGCAGGAATTATATTAGTGAGATATACGTGGGTATAGCTATAAATACATTTGTGAAAAAAGACTAATTTTCGTTTTTTACCTCGTTGCACTTAGTTCTTAATTTCTTAAATAGGATAAGAGTCAACGAACGATTAAGAAAGCTGGAGATTAAAGGTTAAGTTCTTGAAATTAAACCATTTTGATGAACCTAAGAAAGCTTCTTGTGAGATGGAAAGAAAATGAGTAAAGTTTAAAGAAAGTTAGAGATTCTGATGTTATTAAAAATAGTTCTTTTTAACGATAGAAAATATTTCCCAAATAAGTTTTAGGAATGCTGTTAAAGGGACATCCTTTGGCCGCACAAAAAAATCAGAGTTCGTTCCGCTTACATCGAGCCGACTGTAAAAGGGGTTTCTTTACTCTGCTATGACTCCTGATTTTGCCTAACTTGTACACCAGCTTTCAGACATTGTTCGTCAGAATTTTTTGGCCGGGTAAAAACCAGGTCCGTTCCGCTTACATCGAGCTGTGGTAAAGGACTTAAAGGGATTTTTTTTACTATGCTACGACTAAAGCCCTTGCTTAACTTATACGTCAGCTTCCAGAAGTTAGTTTTCTAAAGAACGTTGATTTTTGTTGTCTAGTTTAATTAAGTACTAATTAAGTGGTGTAGGTTTCGCCGTCAGTAGTTAAATGTAACGCTTTACGTGCCTTAAAATTTTTTATAAAAAATGGACTAAGGAACAAGAATTGAGAATCCATAGACACCAGAAAAGTCGTCAGACCAGAATGAAGCATATATTCGAAGCATATATCCTAAATGAGAGGTATAGAAGGAACCTTTGAGTAACCCTGCTAAAGGTTTTGTATAAGATGCTAAGCCTGAGGAACAACCTTTAAGATTATTCTTCATTTTACAAGTCAGATTTTGCATATATAACAAATCGGCATACCCATTTCAAATGAACTACTAACCACGGATCTCTCAAAGCCAGCTTCAGAAGTATACTTCCAAAAATTTATAAAATTTTCATTACTTAGAAACTATCTCTCAACATTCTCCATATTATATTCTTCCACAGATCTCTCTAACGACGAATTGGATTGCGATGACGACGAAGGCTCGAATGAATTCCTCACCGCCAATTATCATCACAGCATATCACCATTGAAAACGCAACGACAACGTTCGCTAACGCCCGAACGAAACGAATCACATAGCTCATCGAGTAGCATACGAAAGCAACGATCGCTAACACCCGAATCACGATCACTCACGCCAGAGGATCGACGCCGAAAAGGCGGTTCACAAGTATCTTTAATGGGTTCACGACAGAATTCGAGTTCACGCAGTAATACGCTCGAACGTAAACAGCGTTTAACTGAAGGTCAACCCACAACGAATATCTCACGTAGTTCGTCGAGTTCAAGCTACAGTGGCGGTGGAGGTGGTGTTGTAAGCGCTGAACAACTTGATAGCGGAGTTGTTAATGTAGGAGCTGCGGTTGGCAGTATAACTGGTATGCCTAATACCGCTTTGGTAGGAGGTACTGTGGTCAATACAGGTATGGTGGCTATGACCGGTAGTGGTGGACGTTCGCAGCATCGACGCTCGCTGGGGCGGAATGCCAAGCAGGTGGATGAACATCGTATACGACGTTCAAGGTGAGTTTAGAAATTAAGAATTGCACAGTTTGGTAGTTTACAGCTTAAAATACGGTTTTGGTATAACCTAACTGGCTTCGTGAAACGAACGACTTATTCAGCTGATATGATATTTGCTTTGTGATTATACGCTATTAAAAAGACTTTACTATAGTTCGCTTTCACGCAGTCGATACTCAGAGCTCCTAACGGTGTCTGCCGAACTTTATATAGACTTTTTTCGTTTTAGTTTCTTAACGGTTCAAGCTCAGTACCTCCTCTTTAACCTTTAATAAATTTGTATATACCCCACAGGTCTCTACAGCTAAGCGAACGTTCACCGAACCGCTCACATAAAGTTATCGTTTCTATGGGACAATCACAAGGGCCCGCCGTTAATTATCACTCACCAAACGCGCAGCCTATCTACCAACAAGCCGGGGTACGGATCAGCAACGGCAACGCTATGCCCGCGCGTCCACCCATACGCACCAGCAGCAAGTCACAATCGCTACTACTGAGCAGCAATAACACGAATACCGGACGAACACGCAATAATGATATCGATAAAAGTCGCTCTTTCGATTTCGACTACTGCAATTACAGTACACAAGTGGCGCTAAAGGGACACAGCCACGCCGTGAGCGGCGGCAGCAACAATCAGAATGTGCCTCTTCGCTTGGACTTTGACAAGAGTCGCTCATTCGACGAAGACTACCGTGAACCGTTAAATACGATCAGCAATAATTTGGCTACAACTAATGGCAGCGGTATGCGTTATCTACAAGCAATCGCCGACCCAGGCATGGGTGGTAACACAGGCAGCAACAATAATAATAGAAGTGGTCGCTTGCGACGCTCTTCGCCCGTCGGTACGGGTAGTGGTGAACGCAATTCACGTTCACCACAATCTTCGGGTTCATCATGTAACAATCTCCATTTACCACGACAATCGACGAGTCCGCAAAATTACGGTACACGCCTATGTGATCACGAACTCACCTACGATATGCTGCGTAAATCACTCGATCGCTCACCGATTATGGATTTTCGACGCGGCGATAGTGGTGAATATGATTTGTCGCCAGCATTATTACGTAATCGCGAAACGATTAATAGCGGTGGCAATAGCGAATTGAATTTCTTCAATAACGATCATATCTACGAACAGCCGACTACAAGCAAAGTTTCAGCGAGTGCAACGGGCAGTTCGCTGAAGCAGCAACGTTCACTCGGTCATACACACAGTCCCAGTGAGTCGCAGTACTCGCTGGAGCGTCAACACAGCAACACTACGGGACGTGAGAGCCAGCTGACGCCGGAGAGCGCCAGCGGTGGTGGCGATTACCGTGCCGAGCATATCTATCGGCATCCGCATACGCGCGAATCATCGCGAGAGAGCGCTGCACGCAGTGGTGGCAGCAGTCGCAACAGGTATTGAAGGGCTGCACCGAGCCTTTTTGTCCAACGAATGTAGTTAGATTTCGGGAAAGTGCCCACTAATAGAGTGCACGTGGGGTTCATATGCATGCGAACCGGACGGCGGCGAGCTCACTTAACATTAACTATGACTGCCTTATCCTGCCCGTTTGTCTGCCTGTCTGCCTGCCTGACTGACTGATTGAATAGCTGCACGTCGTTAATATTAACTACCGAATAACAATAATAATACTACTAATTTCAAAATAAGAGTGGATATTTTAAACACTAACCGTTAGTAGCAAATAGTTGTTGCTGTTTCTCATTAACTCACCTCGGTCTCGTATGCGTGTGTATGGGTGTATGTATAGTGCAATTGTAATATAGAAGAGAGTTAAAAATACTCAGCACAGCTGTGCAGCATAATATTAATCATAACCACGTTACCACTCTCCCCCTCTCTCTCTCTTTCTCTCTCACTCTCTCGCACTCACCATCCTACTCGTTGTCTCATATACTTGCTCGTCCGCGTATGATTATGCGTAATTTTATAACATACGCACTCAAATAGTAAACTCACCACCGTCACTAAGGCTTCTACTCATTAGTACGCCCGAAAGGTATGTTACGAACCGAAATACAACGCTGCAAGAATTTATCATTACCAAGACGAAAAAGTGCAGTATTAAACACCATATTTTCCCCACATAACGAGTACAGTAAATAAGCTAAATGCATAAATAAATCATATGTGGTGAAAATAGAACAGAAAACGGTAAAAAATATGTTTAAAATATAAAGCATGATGTAAGTGAACCTATAAAACTGTATTTTCTATTAAAAAATGTGAAAATAATACTAAAAACCATTGTGGTAAATATGTCTAAAGTATTGTAATCTAACTTGTGGTAAATACAAAGTTACGGTATTAAAATGTTGATAATGAAATCATTGCAAAATAATTAACTACTTTTTAACGTTAAAGCAGTGTTAAGTTATAGAAAGTGTGGTGAATAACGTATATAATTAAGTGGCAACGCTGCATAAAGACTGCTTTAATGAAAAATAAAATGATAAACTCGAAACAACTGTAGATGGTTACAATTTAGGAATCTAAGCTTACAACAACAACTAGGCTTAAGTGGTTATACGTATGCAAAAAAAAAATTAAAATAAACAAAAAAAATTAAAAATAAGCATAAATAAATACTTTAAAAAGGGTTATAACACTGAAGCTCTTTGGAAAGTGACTAATATTTACCGAAAAATATATAAAATTTAACAAATATAAAAATACACCAAAAAGTTATAAACAAATTCAAAAATTTTAATTTAAGCATAAAACCGTATACATGTAGTTCTAATTATTAGAAAAAAAAACATAAATTCATATGGCAACTACTAGCCATTTTAAAAATGAAATAAATTAGTATTGCAAAAGCTCTAAAAATCCCTCAAAAAAATTAAATAAACTCCGCTAACACCACAAACCTGCAAAACTGTCAAAATGTGCACTTTTAATTTTCTTAAAACTGTGTAAAATTTTTATATATTCCCAAAAACACCAATCAAAGCAATTAAATAGCAAATAAATTCACCATTAACGCTTACTAAACTTACCACTAACAAACCAGCGTCTGTATATTATCACCATAAAAACGCATTGTAAGTAAAACTCATGTACGATGTTCAAAAGTCACCACTAAAATCAAATTTTTGAAAACTTACCACAATATGTCATGTACACAATTCATGTGTTTAAATTCACCAAATTCCACTAACCCAAATTAAGATAAAATGAACCTGTGCTGCTGGTAAAAACTCATCATTAACTGGTAAATTAAGTCACGTTCATATATTTATAATAGTCAAACTCACCACTAACCCGCCTTTTAAGTATAAGTCATATGTTATGATCGAAACTCACCACTCAGTGTGCACAAAACAGCTTTGTAGATGTTCATATTAACAGTGAAATGAAAATAACGGCGTATTGAACTCACCACTAATACTTATAGTCAGCACGCACAACCTATAAGCTTAAATTGATTGTGCCTAAATATACTTCTACTTCTCTTGTTCGACAGTCAAAAATTTACTACAGCGAAAACGTTTACAACCAATAAGTCAACATTAAAACCAATTACAACAACAACTGTCAAATGCAATAAAAATCCGTTAAAACGCCAAGAAGCGCTATTGATGTCACAAACTACCTGTTCCTTTTGGCCACATTGCGGCGCATGCAATCCAATTGCCACGCCCCACACTCAACATGATGCCGCCTACGCCAAACGTCAAATGTCACTGCAGGAGCAACAACAATTGACATTGAATTGTCAACGCGCAACAGATATACCACTACGTCGCTATCATTCTGCACACGCGTCTAACGGTACAGCCGCCGAGAAAGTGTCGCAAGTGAGAAGAAGTGGGCGTGAAACGCAACAATCGCCATATCTACCACACTTCAAACGGCACAATTCCAACATATCCACTGTCAGTGTCAATTCTAATTTCAATGTGGCGGGAGAAGAACAAAAAAAAAACGGTAAATTGGCAGGTGTCACCCGTAGTAAAACGCAGTGGACACTTTTATGTAGCGGCGCTACACTTATGGATTGTATAGAAGAATCGCATGCAAAGCCAACAAGAAATACCACAGACTACAACAGCACTACTAAGCGTGGACTAACAACGAAGTCGGCTACCATCGACGCCGGCTCAAATAAAAATGACACTTTGAAAAGTCGTGCTGTGGCGTCGTTTGCTATCAAATCAGCCAGTCTACCGTTAGCTGGTACTTCGTCGATATTTTTAGGCGAATGCGAGATGCCAATAACGCGCGAACGCGAAACCTCGAAGCGCCACAATCGGGAAAGTGAAGTGCGCGAACGTGAAAGGGAAATAGTATGCGAATGGGAATGGAAACGCGCGTCCGATAATGCTCGACAACCCATTCGGCGTGCAACTGCCAGCGCCGAAGACTACCGAACGTTAAGAGATATACGAAACAACGAATACATGGATTATAATACGTTGCAATACGAAAAGCAGACTGAGAATGTAGGCTTCAATGGGTAAGTAGCACATTTATAGATAGTAGTGTATAATATTTATATACCAGTGGTTGGATAAATCATATACTGAAAGTGATATCGTAATGTTAACCTGAACATTTAACCCAGGTAGTATCTTGAACCATAAACTATATCTCTTTCGGCAATCGCTCGCTTCAACTTCATGAAATGTTGTCGGTATCGTTCCCCATTAATGGTTTTCAGAAGTTCACAATACAGCACGTCCTCTAGATGCCACCAAATACAGAGCATTATCTTGGCGTCCTGAATATTAAAACGACTTCTTTTAGTAGCATTTCAGCAGCATTTCTGTTATGCAAAATCGTCTTTCAACCTCTCTTGGCTTCAATACATAGGTATAACACCCCATTTCCTGGCTTTTGAATGTATTTGCCTGCTTTTCAACCCAGCTTCTTCAAGTCAGAATAATTATTGCAGGTTTGAGATTATCTTTCGAGAACTGATCAAGTACGCGTTCGCGAACGGGTACTGATACATACAGATTTGGTGACAAAAGATCTTAACTTTAGAATTCTTCTAAGAATCATAAGGGGTTGCCAACTGTATATAATATATACATTTTTTTAAATTATTTCACAAATAAAGCGCTTCAAAGCTATATTTAATATCCGACTAAAAGAGTTCACGTCAATATTTATTGATATGTTTTTTAACAGGGTTGCCATCTACCGAAATGACGAAGTTTTTCAAGCAAATCTATAAGTCTATATGAGTATTGAATGTTACGAGAATTAAAGAAAAGTGTTGTGGCGATGCTTTATTAAAAAATTATTTTTGCAGAGTTGCCGTATTTTTTAAAATTATTCGTATTTAAAAAAAACGTTTCACAAATAGGACGCTTAAAATATGTAGTCATTTATATTCGATCAAATAAGTTAAACATTGATAGTAGTGAATACTGTGAAAATTTAACGAAAGGTTTGTAGCGATGCTTTGTGCAAAAATATTTTAACAGAGTTGCCATGTTTTTTAATAACAATTAATAGTTAAAAAAAATTTACAAATGGGACGCTGCAAATCTGAATTCGCTAATATTCGAACAAAAGAGTTTAGTTAATACATTTTTGAACAGAGTTGCCATCTACAGAAAAATTATGAGCTCACAAATATAACAAAAGGTTTGTATCAATATTGAATATTGCGAAAATGAATCGAAAATCAAGTATTCATATTTTACTTAATTTTTTTTTACAATAGAGTTGCCATATATTTTTTAATAATTTTTTTTTCAAATTAACTTTACATTGGCACAGTCTGCGCCTTTAACATCTGCAATTACCTTCTTATATGAGCTTAAAAAGTGAACGCATCTAGGCGAATATCAGCCATATTCCCAAAAGCCTCCAAAGCCACAACAAAAACACTCAAATTCGGGCAATTTCACTAATTGTCAGTTGCTTACTTACATTTTTCTACAAACCACAACAAACTGCCCGTATCCGCTTATTCTTCAGTGGGTTCAATATAAATTACTCGCCTCTTTTGTATGCTAACTTCACATATGAATAGGCGCATATATAAATATGTGTGTATGTATGTTTCATATCCGCCAAAGACCAAAACTGAATTGTTTCATTCAAATAACGGCACATTAAAAAAATCCGCAAAACCGCTATAAACGTTCAAACACAGAAGAGGAGATGTTTATACAAATAAATATATGTAATACATACAGTATGTGCCCACACATACAAACATACATACTAACTATGCAGCATAAATTTCAAAAATCCATTTGTAAAATCGCCAACATTTCATTTTTCAACTTCACACGCCAACAATAGCATACATATATATACATTATTACATATAAATATAGATATATACAATACATACATCTATGTATATATAAATATATATACTACAAGCATTTCTAACGAATTACAAATTTTCTATTTGTGTTTGCAACAAATATGCATTGGTAGCAGCAACATGGTGGCAAATGGTTGTAAAACTAACAAATCTAGACCAGCAGCTGCAGTTAAAGTAATGTCAACAACAACAACAACAAAAACCGCAACATCAACATCAGTATTTGCCAAACATGCAAAACCATTTCCAACAAGAACAACCAGCACAACTGCAACGTGCGGCATGCCACATTTGAGAGAGCGCTATTTTCGCAGCAGCTCACTGCCGAATATATGGTTACCGAGTCATGGGTGAGTACAGAGAATATTAAATATACTTTCACATTCAATCATTTCGAGATACTATGTATGTATATACAAATGTACGTCTGTGAATTAATCAAATTGAGTGTGATGTATGGAGAAATGTCAATCCATATTCGATTTTTCGAAAAAGTATAGTGAAATTTTAAGCGTGAAAGCTTCAAAATTTTAAAGAAAACCTTTTTCAACGCTGAACGTCACCCGACCAACGACTCGAAGCTAAGCTTAAGCAAGAGCGTTCGTAAAGTTACAGATTTAAAAATACTTAATAAAATTACTCGCCTCAGATATTTAAATAGAAAATTAGCAAGATCAAAATTATTATATAGAGAGATATATATACATTAATATAATAGCAACATTATTTAAAACCTATATAAAAATCAGATTTTTTAAATTTTAAATATAAAACATCCTGAGTATTTTATAAATTTTGTGAAGTCTACTATATTGGACACTAATGCTCTTATAATATCTTAAGATCGAGTAGATGTCTAAATTCATGGTTCAGCGATATACAACTACAAAGTCCTTCTCTAATTAATTTGGACACACCCCTAAAACCATATTGTATATCATTTCTGTAGGTACACAAAACTGATGGAGTTCCATTTCCTAACATAATCCATTGAAACAGCGTTTTGAAGGACCTGAAGGGATTGTGAAAATTTAAATGAATTGGCTTCAACAAACGCTTCCGTTCCGTCCTTAGTTTTTCGCTTAATTCTGCATCCAAATATTAGTCACCATTTAATCCCTTTTGGACTTAGTTTCTTAAAAGAGGAACGTCAAACTTTTATCATGAATTTAGGCATATTACCTAAATTGGCTTGCAATAAAATTAAAAAATCGACATGCGGTTTCTTTTGTTAAAAAATAATAGCTCGGGTTTGTTTTTCAACTTTTTGGGGAGCATCCCATTGGTAAGAGTATTACGAAGACCAGAGTACAAGGCAAACTGAACTTCAAGCGAAAGCTTATGACCCCATAAATTAAAGCTCCCATCTTTGCAATATACACTTATGTCACTTAAACAGATTTCACCTCCAGATGGCGCATACGTTGTATGATACCCCTGCAGTAAGAAGTTGTAAGCTCAGAGTACCTGCTTGCTGTGAGTGACCAACGCGAAAGTAACTTTTTCTTCAAAGGCCTTGGCAGTAAATTTTGATATTCCCCCAATAATGTCATCTACGAGTAAATCAGCTAGGACAATAAAATCAATTCATCTCAACGCTTTTGAGTTCAAGCTCAAATGCGCTTTGGATATTGTGCCATCCATGATTTACAGAACTGACTGGATTTGACTAAATTTCGAGAAGTAGAGTCGAGAAATCTATAACTATTATTATATTATTTAAGTAAAAGCTTAGAAAAATAGGCAAAATGTTCGGCCGGTGACACCACACATGCTTTAGTTTAAATCCTAACATATTGGTCTAAATACGGATATAGAGGCAGTGTTCTTTTGTAAATATTTTTCAGGAGAGAAACGGGAAAGTCGAAGACTTTAGTATCTCAAATAACCACAGGAAACCCGACGGTTTTATCCAAAATATTACTATAACGCTGCAAAATAAATAAATAATGTCTAATAAGTAGAAATATCTTTTCGCCATTTGAAAAAAATGTCATAACGCTATTCTCATAGAAACTCGTCGATCGGTTGTCGTTCTTTTTGGCAAAACACTGGTACAGTCGATTTTTGCAATCCTTCTGTTGTTGTGACAGTATCAGGACAATAAACAATACTCACATTTTCAGTCGCCTGGCGTGAGTTTTCATCTATGTCAAAGAAAAACTGTAAAATATGGCTGTACTGATGTCCGTCTTTGACGCGTGCTCAAGCAATCCTCGTAAAGCAATTACAAAACTAGCTGGGATTTTTTTTTTTTTGTATGAAATCTTTTCTTTCTAACGCTTCATAGCCCGACCGATGGTACCTTTCTGCATACATACAAAAGTCAGTGAAAGATAGATTTAATTATTGCTAGGGTTATAAATCTTCAGATTTTCTATACAGTCGGTCTCAACTTGATTATGTTTTTTAATTTTGGATCCCAAACTCATCACGCAATCACATACTGAGTTATTTCGTTGCAGCCTACGAAAGCTTTTAGCAACTGTTATGTCGAAGTGTAGTTGGTCATAGCCTTCCCGCCATTTATAAGTAAACTGTCGTTGTGCTTGAAGTTGCCAATGACACAAGCTCGACTTTATCACCATTAACTACGCTTCTATAAAAAGTTTTACTACTGAAGCTGAAGAAAATTATATATGGTAAAGTACAGCGGAATGGAACTTCGTCGAAACAATGCAACAACTAACTTTTTTTATAAATCTTCAGTTTACACTCTACACTACACAGCATAAGTCAACTAATAAGCTCTGCGTCTCTCATTCCGGAAGAAAAGAAATATTATATGACTTTTTCTTCCACCGACTTATTGTCTCTCATAGAAGTTTACGGTGGGGCGGAAAAAAAAATACAGGGACTCTTAAAGCAAATATCCGCAGCGTTTGAAAAGGGAAAATTAAATTGAACAAAAATCAAATTTTTAACAATGCAAACTTTAGAAAAGTGTTGAACGCTTTTAATTTTCCTACTAAAGGACAACAGACAGACAATAAAAGCCACAACGGCACCTGCCATCACTTCCAGGTGCTGCTGCTCAGCTTAGAACGCTCGTTGCTGTTGTTGTTGGTGCTGCAAACGACAGACGAGCGAGTTGTGAGTTTGTACTGCTTCTCTTCCACTTTTCTTTTTCTACTCTCCTTTTGTTTTAGCAGTTTCGTCTTTTCTGCTGCTGGTAACTTAATTCGATTGAATGTTGAATGGCGTTTGTGTGGATGAGTGTGTATGTGTTTGTGTCCGTCTATAATTTTTCAAATATTTCGACAGACAGAGTGTAAGTACTGGAATACTTTCAGGAGAGAAGCAAAAATTTAATGGCTTAATGCACAGCACTGTTGCCGGAAACTTTATAGAAAATTGCCAAATTTCCGAATGTTATGACTCAAAATTTTTAATAACTAAAATTAATTTTAAGATCTAGTTAAAATGTCTTAAATTTAATTTTTTTGTGTTATATATAGTTTATATTACGTTATGAACAAATAAAATAAATATAAAATATTGAACATTAATTGTTTAGTTTGCTAAACTTTCACATGGCAACACTGTATTAAATTATAATTATTTTTCCAAAGTAGCAGCTACCATTGATTTTTTAATATTTCTATGACATACTTTGTCAGTGTGTTAAGTAAGGTTTGTCATTTCATCATGTCACGTTTCACTGTCGTCTTCACTATTGGTGTGAATCAAATTCTCGTGTGGTTCCTGAAACGCAATGGCATCCCCAAAAATTTACCGTTTGCTGCGATTGTGGTCAGACGGCATAATCGGTTCTTATTTCTTTCGAAATGAAGCAAGAAATGCCGTCACTATCAATAGCTGTTATAACGCCCGATATTGACCGACTTTTTTTTCCGGGAATTTGATGTAAGTAACGCGGTTCATCTCTGTTTCCAATAAGACGGTGCGTTGCCTCATGCCCCACGTCTCAATGTGAATACATTACACATGGACAAGATCATGCGATTTAACGCCTCTAGTTTATTTTGACGGCGGGTATGTTAAATCAAATGGTGTTCTCACGTCATTCTTGTTGGTAGCTTGTATAAAAAAGAAGATATAAAAAAAGAAAAAAAAATATTTCTCTGAATATTATAGAGTAATTAAATTTAAAACCTTATTTCAAATTATTTTCCGTTAGAGATGCTTGAAAAAGCTGAGTATTTATGCCAAGATTTTATAAGCCATATAATTCATATATATTATATATTTGGTGCTAATTTTTAGTTGTGGCAACATTTTTTTTAGCCGTAAGCTCTTTATAATCAGCACGTTTTAACTTATAGATAAACACATGACAACTTAACGTAAAAAAAATTGTTTAAAAAATATAAAAATAGCTAAGCAAAATTTTGCTTGACAAAAAAAAATTTTATAGGAAACAAAAGCTCTCTTTAGAAATATCAAGATTAAAATTAATTTATTTTTCTGAAAAAGTTTTAAAACAACCTTACATTGCCCACTCCACTCAAATCAACTTAGAAACTGTCAATTTAATTTCACCCGCCGAATTGAGTGAGCAGAACGATAAAAGCTTTAGCTGTCAAAAAGCTGACAGCTGCACGATTTGGAGCAAAAAAGCAGGAATAAGCAGAAGATTGACTGTCTGCGAACAGATGAGGTTTGCACTTGCAGACTTACTAAGTGATTGAAATGCGTAGGTAAGAATGTAGCAGAGATTACTCAAATTTATTAAAGAAATCAAATATACTTGTATATACATAAAATTTAACGTTAACTTCAGACAATACGGTTAGCGGTTGCGAGTGAGCTGTCAGAATGACAACTGCTGTTGATTGTTGCTGGCATTCGAAATCGTTGCATATTTACAGGCGTTGAAGTGTACGTTTTGTTGAAGGTTACGACATTCAGATTTAGTTTCCGACTTCCATTCAAATTACTAAGGGTTAATTTTACACAGTTTCTAAGTAATCTGACACACACACTAACGGTAACCCTTATCAAAGTGTTGAATTGATTTGTTGTGCGAAATGAAACATTTTTTAAAGGAAAGTGATGAATTCGGTAGAAAATAATAATAATAAAAGTTTTCGATAATAGGCAGAGTACATGAGATAATGGTGAGATTTATTTGGAATATGCTAATAAGCGGCTTGAGCAAGTTTTTCCATTAATAAAAAATTAGCAACAAGTAGGGAAGGTTGAAGAGATAAAGTTCTTTTCATAGACACTCCGAGCCCTTGCTGGAAGTCTATGGCTGTTCTTTGTTCACTCCTCACTAACAAAGTAACAGTACAGAAATGTAAAATATTGACTGCTTCAGGTTGTTCAGCGCTATTGTTTGAATGACTGCAAGGTAGAAAGAGGATAGATTCAATTACTCAGTTCT